TTTAATGAGACTAGTACATTACTTGCTGCATGTATCGGTCAGGAAGATAACATTTTACTAGCTTGTTGGCCTTTCAAGGTACTGACATTGCAAGTTTTTTAAATTAAATACTGGACTCAGCAATTCTTCAGTTTTGGAGGGCAGATTGTACTCAGCACTTCTGATGGAAAAAAAAAAAGTTATTTACAGATAATTGTATCCTTTGTATGTAAAAACTCATTCCCCCCCCCCCCCCAGCTTTGAAGAACCACCACTGACCTGTACTTGACTCTTACAGCTGTTGATACAATCACATAAATTCTAATATTAATTCTTTTAATAGATAAAAACATACAGATTTAAGAGTTATTATGCTGTTAAGCTATGGCTGCAGTGAATTGTCCTTGTGAAACACAGCAGTCACAGGATATTATTGACTAGCTGGTTGAGAAATGCCTTTGGCTCATTCGTGACACAAAACCAGCACAAGCTAACAGTGCTTCCTAATGCGTTCAGGCCATGAATTCATGTTTGTATTCAGATTAGAATAATTGATTGGAAGTCACAGCTTGATAAGACTCAGGCAAGAGGTATGCAAAGAACAGGGACTTCTCTTACCAGAGCTCAACATTTCAGTATTTCTGCAGCTCTACTCCAGGAATATTTTGATGATCTGCCAAGTCATGCAGTGTGTTTAGTTGCTGGACAAAGACCATCACTTTGAATGCTTTTGGGAATCTTTGAACATGAAGAACAAAACTATTTAGCTTAGATAAAGAACAGTATGTTTTATGTTCAATTTCCTGCTGTTCTATGGTAGCTCTCAGATCCTGGTAAGGACTGCAAAAGCATAACCTTCTGATGTACTTCATCTTAATGCAGCCTTTGTTGGGGTCTTTGTTGCCTGAATCTAATAATGTTCCTGAATTAAACTTACTGTTCTTTTTTCTTGCTAGATTAATGGACTTTTTTGGAGACACTATGCTTTTATTTCATATAACTGGCTATTGTTAATACATGATCCTTAGCTAAAATAGGATTTATTTATTTAGTCTTAATATTGTACAAGATGTACTTGAATGTGTAATTCTATATGTCCTTTTGCTTGCCTAAATTAGAAGTAAAAGTTGTCTCCCTTGAAAAAGTACTAATAAAGTAATAATTTAATTAAAAAATATTGTAGGGGATGAATTTTTTTTTCAGGCAGTTTGAGGTGGTGGTTCTTCAACTGTATGCACAAATGAAAAGTCCTCTTTCCAATTATGAACTGTACAGTGATAATCATCATTTTGATTCCTCAGGGCAGAAAAGAATTGAAAATGTTTCAAGAGGTTCTGCACCCCAAGAGGAACAGAATAGGACTGTTGCTCTAATCAGATGATTCCCTGTTTTCACAGGTACAGGCAGCACAGAAAGGGTTGATTGATCACTTATAAAGGGGTGACGGTGATATCACTCCAGAATGGTCTTGTAGGTCTTTGGAGGACTGTTGCCGCAGGTAGATGGCATGCACTGATCTTGTACATCAACTGTTCACTACACCTGTGGGTCAGGTAGACTCTGTGGAGCTCTAAACAGGTTTTTAAAAGGCTGTAAAACTTTGAGTACCTAGACTTCTTTCCAGCTGACATTATGGAGGATCTGTTGCAAACTGTTAAAATGCCTTATACCTGTCTCGACTGTGTAGAAACTCATAAAAGCTTCAAATAGTTGCCTTTGTCATACTGAACTACAGCTGTTGCCTGGGGTTTATGTTTTTGTGTTCTCAGATACTAAGTTCTAAGGAGCATCCAGCTGTTCAATGTAATTTTGTAGATTTAAAATCTTCCCTAGACTAAGTTATTTTTTCAATTAATCTGTGATCAAACTCCAACTTTGCCACATAACTCATTGTATGGTTATATTTGATATGTTGAGTTGTATTCTCAGGTTGAACTGGTTTATATCCACCCCAAGTGTGAGGACTACACTCTAGAGATGATGGAATTTGCATTGCTTCGCTACACTAAGGACATGTCTGGAAGAATTTGCTGTACACTGAAGCATGCAGCAATACTGGTTCATTTCTGCTAAAAGCTCACTTGAAAAATTGATACACAATCAGAAGCAGTTAGTAACCTGCCACATAAAGCTATATTAAAATACAAGCCTAAAATAATAATAATAATAATAATTCATCAGAATTAATAGAATATTAGAAAGGCCCTTCTTCCCTTTCCCTCTTAATAAACGATTTAGAGTATGTTGGTTCAAAAGGAAGCCTTAGCTTATTACTCCTGTGAACAGCTGCTCATCAGTAGGTGTAGTAGACTTCCAAACTGACCCTAGAGCTCTAGGAACTTGGGAACCCTATGTTTTATTCCTAGGGTATCTTTTCAGCCACGTGTCTTAAATATACTAGATTAATTTTACTGCCTTTGCAAAAAGCATGTTTGTGTGCACTTGGTTCAGAGAAGGAAGTGAATGAGTGACTCTTTAAAGGTTGGATTTTGTAGGTTTTTTTAGTAATAGAAAATTTGGACATTTGTGTCCAATTTTGGGAGAATGGTCAGGAAGTTTTCCATCTGAAAGTGCTCTGGGGAGAAGTATCTTTTAAATAGTGGTGGAAATATTCTGTATGCATTGGGGGGTGTGGGGGTGTGGTGGTGTGTTTTGTTTGTTTGTGTTTTTTAAATTTATTTTTTAAGAGTTGATTTTGTTGGATTTTTTTTTTTCCTACCCAGCCTCAACCTAAGTTTCTAGGCATCTGCAAAAAACAAACAAACAAAAAACCAAAATGAAAAAGCACAACAGGAACGTACTGGTCATGGGAGAATGCAGACCAGCACTCATACCGAATTAGGGTTTGCAAGACAGTAGATGCTTTGAGTCAGTGGAGATTGTAACTGCTGCTAAATTGGTGACAAGAAGTTTAGTTGGTGTTTCAGTTGGATTTCTCATTGTGAAGCCTTTGCCAGGTTGTGTTCATGCTCTGGAGGGCTGAATTCTTGTGAGTCTACAGCTGAAATAATTTATAATAGCAACAGGCTGTGTTGCAATCTTCATGTTACCAATGCTTTACTGTCACATATGTTTATCTCATGTTAAAATTTCAAGAGACTGAAAAATCAATGAGTTCACCTGTAGACTCATTCATCCACTCATCTAATAATCTCCAGTGCAATAAAGCTAAGGCTAGTTTTCACTTACTCCTTCCTATCAGTTCCATGAGATTGTGTGGAGAAATACAGCTTTCTGCATTTCATACTTGGAAATTCTTATGGTAAATTGTCCTGGGTTTAGCAGTAGCAGTCATTTTTCTCTTTCTTGGTAGCTGGTGCAGTGCTGTGTTTTGACTTTCGGGCTGGGAACAGAGCTGATAAAAATGATGTTTTGGTTTGGCCAAGGACTTTGTGAGCCTCATGCTCTTCCAGGGAGGAGGGGAAGCCGGGAGGAAGCAGAGACAGGACACCTGACCCAAACTGACCAAAGAGGTATTCCATACCACAGCACGTCATGCCCTGGATGTAACTGGGAGTTACCCGGAAGGGGTAGAGTGGACTGCAGAGTTGGAGGAGGTATTAGTCGGTGCTTGGTCTGGCTGGGGGGGGCGAGTTATCGGTTGCCTGATGATGAGGTGTTGTATTCTCTTCCCTTGTTATTTCCTTTATAATTACTATTACTGGTGGTAGCAGTAGTGATTTGTGTTATACCTTAGTTACTAAACTGTTCTTATCTCAACCCGTGGGAGTTGCATTCTTTCTGATTCTCCTCTCTGTCCCTCCGAGACTAGGGGAGGGCAAGAAGGGGACAAGCTGTCTGGCTGGGGTTAAACCACGACGTAAATGTGGAAACGGTAGAGTAGTACTTAAAGGAGGGGCTGTACTTTGTGAGAATCAGAACATGGGAAGATGAAAGCCTGCTGTAAACACTAGCATGTCTTGTGTACAGCACGGAGATGTATAGCAGAAAAATCCCAAAACCTGCTGTCAAAGTACATAATACTTAATGACATTAAATAAGTGCTATTTTACCATGTAAGGTCTTATTGTAAGGCATTGCTGTATGTGTGTTTCAAATCTATTCAGTCTAGTAATAATCTCGTTTGGGGTACTGGACGCTCAGTCTGGTAAGTTAATCTTTTTGTTTATTATGTTTCATAGTGTTACAGAATGGCATGTTTTGAATTTAAAAATGTTATAAATAATCAGATTATAAATTGCTTCAGATGTTGTGGAGAAAAAAATATGCTTGAAGTTACTTTTTTGTAATTTATTAGCAACGTTCTGCGCTGAATGACTGCGTTACCTATTTCAACTGGGAAAAGTAGACGGTGAAATTTTAAAAACACTTAGGAGGGTTTCTTACATTTAAAAACCCTCTTACTGCTGCTGCATTTGCAGAATGTGTTAGTGTTACCTAAAAGGTATTTTGTTACTGTTGCAAACTAAAACTAAGTTCAAGTACATCATACAGCGGGTGTGTAGCATTTACTGCTGGGGTGTGTACCTTACTTTCTGCCATTTACAATACATCCTAGTGTAACACTTCAAGATAAGCCAGGTATTCTGATGTGTGTGTGGCCATTAGGACATGTGTTTGTGTTGATTTGTATTTAATAACTGCTGTTGCTTTACAGTTACTTCTAGTTGTTTCAGGGAATGTTGGGTGTTGCATCCAAATGTTTTACAGTTTTAGGAGTGGTGCTAGTCTCAGTTATTTTATAATAAAATTCCTTTTAAATGACTTTTTTTTTTTTAATTAAAGTGACAACTTGTGGATTTAACATGGAGAAAGGCACTGTATTTGCTGACACTGAAATAGTATTAATGCATGTAAGGTGTGCTGAAAGTGCATAGTTCTTTTCTAACCTGCATGGTGTAACCCTTTGGAGTACTTTAAATAAACATGTTCTTCTAAAAATATGTTTATTACCTTGTTTAGATGTAATTTTAAAAGCTGTTTTTAAAGGCATGCCTCCAGAGACATGCATGCAATAAATTCAAATTGTCAATGTTTCAGGGAATCTAAATTATTTTCAGAATTTCAGCAATTAAGAAAGGATAAGTGGAAGGAGAAAATGTTGGGCTGGTGCCAAGCGATAGCTCGTAACCCTCACAGACTTCCAAACAGCACAAGAACACCCGAGGTCTCAGGTGATGCTTCACGTAACTCTACTTTGGTGAGTGAAAAGTTGCATTTCATGGTGGTGGCATGCTAAGATGAACTTCAGAGGTGTTACCAATTTGTTTTTAAAAAGTGTAGTGTTTGCCATTGATTGCGTTACCTCAGTGTGCTTTTGACATTATAGCTATTTGCCCCTTTCCATTGTTTTTTTGTTGTTGTTGTTGTTGTTTTTTTAAAATCCCTTATGTTATGCATGGTCTATTCTGACTTGCATGCTATGTGTATAAATCAGTATTGATGTTTTGTGAATGGTAAAGCCTTGAAGCAGGAAATGTGTCCTAATATGGATTAGTTATATTCTTTGTGATCTTAATCAATGTAATGACATTTGGTCCCCGATTAATGCAGCTGGATTTGTCTAAAGGCATCTTGTTTGCCCTTTGCTCCTGTCTGTAACAGGATCAAAGTACGGTATGTCGGCACTTGTGTTAGGCAGCTGGATTTTAAAAATATCTTCATATAGTTACAATGATGCTGCAAGAGATGGTTGAGTTTCTGCATGAAAAGCCTTTGATAGTAGATGTCCAGGCAATATAAAGTAAAAAATTTGTATAGTGCAGTTATCATGAATTGTATGAAGTTGAATAAAGTGACTCATTGACAAGAATGTTAATCCTGCACTTTTTGCTCATTCAAATAAATCTATATACATCAGTCGACCTCCCAAGGTGAGTAGGAACTGATACTTGAATGTAAAAGCTTCAGACTGCCCTGCGTGTAAGAGCAAATGTCACCTTTTTACTTGTTTTTCATCAAGTGTATTGATATTTTTAGGCTATGGAACTGATTATTTGAAACATATTCAGTTAAATATGCCTGATCCAATTTCATGATTGAGTTTAGAATAGGCACAGCATTTCCTATCCTAGGAAGTGTGAGGTTGCAGGAAAAATTGCCCTCCAGTTGTTGAAACACAGACATGATGACATAAGCAGAAAGATGAATGATTTGTTATAAACACTGATGAAATGTGGTATTCCAAAAAGTGTAAAGAGAGTTATAAATGAAGAGGCAGTGGTCTGTTTGAAAGTTGTTAAAGTTCTGGTGAAAAAAAGCCCCTACTTAATGTGGCAAAATTATCTTATTAAATGGTAGATTATATAGAATGTAAGTAAGTTTCTGTTGAGATAGAGAACACAAAAAGGTAGCACTAAAAATTGCCTATTTTATAGCTTACGTAATATCCTAGATTATTATTATAGCACACTTTCATCTGGAATTCTTGTCTTTCAGAGAAATAAAAGGAAATTAAAAAGCATTGAGTCATGAAAGAAGAAATTTCAAGTATGTTATCCCCATATTTAATTACTATTACTATTAGTAGTATTATTTTCTTTTTACATTTTATTTAATTACTATTAATGTTTAGGTATTACTAGTAGTAGGTGACAATTATTAAGGAATATATTTAGATACCTGGAAATTTGCATATTTTGATTTCTGCTTGACTGCTAGTCAACATTTAATTCAGTTTGATAGTCCAGAGATAAATATTCCAATCTACTAGATGGGTTTTAGAAGCAATGAGCTGGGAATACAGTTCATAACAGTTGAATTGGTAGAATTAAAATGTTTAAACCATATTAATATTAAAACTAGTTGAAAAATAAGTTTCTGTGAAACTGTATACACTGTTGCTTAGCTGATGAAGTGTGTAAGAAAGCGAAGGATATAACCAGCTGGGGAAGATACTGTTTCCTTTAATGACGCGATTGGCTATAGAATAATAATCTTCACAATAGGAAATAAAACAAGTAATATCTCTTGAAGCCTGTCAAGCTTTCCTCTTCATTTTCTTTACTTCCTGCTCTCTCAACCATTACTCTTTCTGTCTCCCACTTCTGAAGTGACTTTCAGCATAAGTTTTTGCTGGCAGTGTCTTTCCAGCTTGTGGGCTGTAGGCTAATAATCCTTATTTTCCTTATGAACACTTCTAAATTGAAATGTTGTTTCAAATCAGTTTTGATTTTTCTTTGTAGTCTTAGCCTTTCTATGTGGAAGAATTTTCCATTTGCTTTTGAGCATGCAGATTTAGCACTAGAAAATGAAAAATAATGAAACAGCAGAAATGTAAGAATATAATAAATTATTTGTTGTAAGTGTACAAAGCCACTTCCGATGACCTATTTAAGTCCTTTCTTTCTGAATTAACCTTCATTTTTCAGTGCATTGCAGTTCCTCTGTGGACCTGGTTCCATTAGTAGGGTTTATCAGGTCTATCTATCTTGTGAGCACAGTTATGGTAGGAAGACACAGCTCTTTGCTTCCTCAGGCTGTAGGCGGCAAGTCTGGGTTTGGTGGGAAGCTAACTGGACTGTACAGTGCATCTTTTTCTCAGCTCTGCCATATGCCTTTTGTGTACATGAATAGAAATATTTTTCTTGGTGAAAGAAGGTGGAGTAAGAAGAAAGTGGAGAAAGCTTGTGGAGTAAGAAGCAGGCTGTGATCATTAAAAAGTTGCAGGTTTTTTTTTTTTTTTATTAAACAACTAAATGGAATACTGAACAGCAGTGCAGAAGTGAATAAAAAAGAAATTAGCTCACGAAAACACGGAAATAAATTTAAGGAGTTTAATAAAATCAGTTATACTGTTTCATTTTATTTGATGTCAAGATGTTCTAGATTCATCCAAATCAAATAAATTCTGAAATATTTCATCAAAACTCAATGAAATATTCTTGGAAAAAATTTTCCATTATTATTTTTTATTTAGTTATAATATTATCCTCAGGCTTTATCACCTTAGCATGCTTTATTTAAAGATTAAATCCTTTGTGTTCAGTTTTAGGTGGAACTCTAGCTTCTTGGTTCTCAGCATACCTCAAAATTTTTGAGCCATTCTATAATGCAAAGAGGCATAACTTCTCAAAAATATTGTTTATTCTTACGATTTGTTGGATAATTTTAGATTCAAAAGGATAACAGCTTATTTTTTTTTCATACTCAAAACAATCTCATATAGTCCATTAAACTGGTGAAGTGGGACATACATGTTATTTCTCAAATTTGAAGGCCCATCCTTCCTAATGTTTGTCATAAGATTTATTTTTAGAGACCTTTAATACAGCTTTTCAACTTTTCCTTTCCATCATACTGTTCCTGTGAGTATCTTAAAAGGTCTTATTCTTGCTCCACTTGGAACATGAGTGGCCAGTTATACACAGCATTCCAGATCAAACTTTTTGTTCCTAACTTTGACACTAATTATTCCCTATCCAGTATCCCATTTGTCTTAATTAATATTTAATTTAACTAATTAATTTACTGAGTAGATTTAGAATCATTTTATTAATATATTTTTGTAACTGTTATTTTAGAGACCAAACCTGTGATCAGTATATTGACTGCATCAATTCCAATTATTTATTACTCTGTTTTTTTCCATTAATTTTTTTTTTTTTAAATTTATTTGGCAAAACCACTTTTTCCTACTGAACTTTCTTTTTTGGAAGTTTGTTCTGGTTAGTCTGTCTTTTGGTGATTTTAGTTGGTTGGTTGGTTTTGTTTTTTCTCTGGAGGGGTGTGTTTGTTTTGAAGTTGTTTACTTTTTTCATTACTTGCTAGTATATTTTTTTGCTTTTCTATTTCATGTAGTGTTCATCTACTAGATTTATCTCTTCTGAATTAGATATTCATTCGGACATATCTGAAGATGTTCACATTATTCCCTATTTTTCTTAAATGTAATTTCATATCTTTGGGTTTGGTTTTTTTGTTTTTGTTTTTGTTTTCATTTCTCTGATTTTTGCTAGAGTTGGGGAAGAATAGTAATGTTTTCTTCCTTAATTGAAAAAATTCCAGATCTTGAAAGATCATAATTCTGTGCAGTAGTACTTGCAGGTTTGTTTTCTGAAAGTATAATGGCTATAACTGAAAACATAGAATTTTAAATCTTTTCTTCATGAGTCACTTGTCTTTTTACTGACAGTGTCTATTTATACTGTGATTCTGTAAGCATATATATGTATGGTTAGTGCAAATGATTTTGATGTGAATACATACGTATATATTAACATTGATTAAACAATTTTACTAGAAGCAGTTCTGTGCCTGCCTACAGTTCTGGTGTCCTCAGCATAAAAAAGACATGAAACTGTTGGAACAAGTCCAGAGGAGGGCCACAAGGATGATCAGGGGACTGGAGTGCCGCCTGTATGAAGATAGGCTGAGAAAGTTGGGGCTGTTCAGCTTGGAGAAGGGAAGGCTGCGTGAAGACCTCATAGCAGCCTTCCAGTATCTGAAGGGTGCCTATAGGGATGCTGGGGAGGGACTCTTCATTAGGGATTGTAGTGACAGGACAAGGGGTAATGGGTTCTGGAAGGGTGAGGCACTGGAATGGGTTACCCAAGGAAGTAGTGAATGCTCCATTCCTGCCAGTGTTCAAGGCCAGGTTGGATGGAGTCTTGGGTTACATGGTTTAGTGCAAGGTGTCCCTACCCACAGCAAGGGGCTGGAACTTGATGATCTTAAGGTCCTTTCCAACCCAAACTATTCTGTGATTCTATCTTTGCTCAGTGTCTAGTATTTCTTGGTGTCCTAATTCGGAACTTGAACATGATCTTAAAAACATGACATTAAGAATCTACATTCTTAATAGTTATGTACAGCCTGTTCTGAGTAGGGTATGGACTAGTCTTTGATTCAGTACATCACGTTAAAAACATGAAGCTAATGAACATGAACACATACTTAATGCTGAGTTGTAGTTATTAGTGCATACTAATTTCCCTGTTGTATTCCCCACTAGAATTATGGGTGAGTATATTGGAAGTATAGCCATGTGAGTAACTAGAAAATGTGTGTTTGTATATGCAAATGAAATGCAGAAGCATCAAGTAGGTAATTTAACTCTAAGAAGGATTTTATTTTTTTTTTAATGCAAACAAATGGTACCATCTGCTTCTCCAAGAGAAAGTAAAGTATGTTTATGAATCATCTGGTTTACATTGGCAGATCCCAGGTTGCCATGTCTGATCTGCAGATGTTGACTGAACA